GGGCTCCAGCTTCGTCCTTTTAGCATCGTCAATATGTGCATAGCCTTGAGATCCGAAAGCCCGTAAATGTCCAAGCTCTGATCTCTGCTTGAACCCCAACTCGTATGGCGTGATGTCCGAGCTTGTCGTGTTTGTCGTTCGGTTGATAAGATACACCGCCGTGCTAAATGCTTCCGCCCACCATTCGTACGACACGCCCTTGTAATACAGCATGCTTCGTGCCTTTTCCATGATCGTACGGTTCATTCGCTCTGCCAATCCACTTTGCTGCGGGCTATACGGAACAGTGCGATGATGCATGATGCCGCTCCTTGTAAATATCTCAGTAATCTTCTTGTTTACGAATTGCGTGCCGTTGTCAGATTGTAAGCACTTCAGGCGTCTTTCCCTTTGGTTCTCGTAGAACGCCTTGAACTCACTTAACTTGGCGGCTACTTCGCTCTTGTGCTTCATGAAGTATGCCACCACAAACCTTGAAAAATCGTCAACAAAAGTCAGCACATAACGTGCTCCACTCTTTGACATCGTCTTCATCGGGCCCATCACATCTGTGTGATCTAGCTCCAGCACACGTGAAATCTTCGACAAAGAACGTGATGAAAATGAGTCCTTCACCAGCTTTCCCTTGATACACCCACCACATATTTTCTTCATCCCCTGCTTCACCATAGGTATACCTTTCGTAGTCCGCTGCGTCGTGACGAGACCGCTCTTTCCAGGGTGACCTAACCGAGCGTGCCAAAGCTCCCACTCATTGTCGTCCCCGGCATACTCCACAAGCCTAGTCTCTTCTTACTCGCATCCAGCATGTATGCTTTGCCAACTCTCTTGCCTTTAGCAATCGCACGCCTTTTACTCCAGATGACACAGGAGGAGCCTTGAAATTCAACCTTTAACTCATGTTCCGCCAGTTTCCCAACTGATAACAATCGCCTATCAAGACCTGAAATATGAAGTACCTCGACCATCTTGATTCGCACATTGTCCAATCCAGTAAGCTTGACCGCCCCCTTTCCAGTAACTTGTAATCTCTTACCGTCCGCGATAA